TGGAAGACATCTTAAAGACGTACATTCCAGTACGTCAATTCGACTTATAGAACAATAATGTGAGTTATTTTCTGAAGAAAAACGAAATGTCATCTCTTCACGTTTTTTATTTTCAATTGTTCAGTTTTTTCTTATTTTCAACAAAAATGATGTTTTTGAATTTTTTCGTCCGACATTTTAGAGCCTTCGTGTTAGATTCTCGAATTTTTACAAAAAATTCATATTCTCTGACCCCAAAAGTCCCATAGTAATCAATTTTGAATAAAATCGGACTATAATCACAAAACTCGTCCGCCATTTTGAAGCCGACATCTTGGATTTTTCATTTTTGACAAAAGAAATTATAATCTCTGATCCCGAAATCCTTCAGATGCCAATTTTGAATCAGATCAGACCATAATCAGAAAACCATATGCCACATCGTCCGCCATATTGGATCCGCCATTCTGTTTTTTCCATTCAATAATAATATCACAACGAATTGTCACTGGAATAATATTTACTTGCCAGATTTCAAATCGATCGGACGATTTAAAGTGAGTCAAATTTAACTTGCACGTTTTGATTACAAACAGACACAAGGACATGTTAAACTAAGTGAAAGCTTGTTATGTGATATATATAGAACAAACAGAGTAACAGAAGAAGTGAATATGGTATAATCATCAAAGTCAAGCAACAAAGAGCGCGGTTAGTACTTGAATGGGTGACCGCTTGTGTCTACCGTTTAATGAATTCGTTTATATCCCTTTTTTTTGCGTGTCTGCACTTGTTGCTCACTTCAGTGCACAGGTGAAAATCAACTGAAACTATGTGATTTTTCCGTAATTTGAAAGATCAATTTGAGGTCATGGACCAGAAACACCTAAAAAAGACGTCTTAAAGACGTACATATCAGTGGAAAATGTACGTTTTAAAGACGTCTTAAAGACGTCTCTTGGGCGTGATATGTACGTCTTTGAAACGTACTTATGTCTCGACATGTACGTCTTAAAGACGCCTTTGAGACGTACTTTAGCTGATTGGGATGTTGTTGAGGGTGTGTGGAATCATTATGAATAGTGATATCAGTGTGGGAAGGTTTATGGAAAATTGAAAAATCATGTTTATCGTTAATTTTACTTATTTTACTCATTGTCAAATCTAATAAATTGATTGAATTTTCAGTCTCTATTTCTATTGTGAATCTAATGTTTGGGTGAATTGTATTTATATATTATTAATTCTAATGTAATGTAATTCAATGTAGAATATAATGTAGATATATTGTGCCTAATTTCCGAAAATGGAGGTTTATCGTACCTGTCCACAGGTAACTAATCCTTCAGGTTGGGAAAGTAAGATATATAAAAGTTAAGCAAGCCAAGGTTAGTTTAGTTCATTGTACCAGTATATCACCTGACGAAGCTACTGTGTTAGTGAAACATGTCGTGTGTTTGAGAATTTTGTGGAAATCTTATCGTTTGTGAAGTTTTTACATTCAATAATATTCCCGTAACGGTGCCACTGGTAGAGAAAATGAAAATTTTTGTAAACCAGAAAATGCACCTTGATGCATTAAAAACGTGTACCAAATTTCATGAAGATGTATACAATATTGTCTCAGTTATTATATCAAAAAACTGAATATTTTTCAAAACTTCATCACCCTGTATCTCAAAAGTTAAGACTTTTAGGACCAACGTTCATATCGAGTTATCTTCTTACAATAAGTCATCGAATATCAGCATTTCTTTGAGGAACACCCTGTATATCCTACTTTCCCAACCTGAAGGATTAGTTACCTGTGGACAGGTTCGATAAACCTTCAGTTTCGGAAATTAAGCAGAATACCTAGGGTTGATAGCAAATACATATACAGGGTGGGTCACGGTGGATGGCCAATTAGAAGTATCTGGAGAACGAAGAGACAGAACATTCTGAAAATTGGGATGCTCTGATAATTGGACATTCTCTATTCGTCTAAAATGTTTTCATCGATACAGTGTTGCCACTTCTATCAGAAACAACTAGCAACTTCGTTATTTTAAATGGAGCACCCTGAATTTTATTGCATTTTTAGATCCTTTCTGAAGAGCTGATTTCATCGATGCATCACACTTGGGGTCTAGCAGGAATGATTACAGAGATATAGGGTGTTCAAAATCGAGATTTTTCAATTTTGGGATTTTTTTGTGTCGAAACTATTCATTATCGATCAAAATGGTTCACTTCTCAACTTTCGATTCACTATCTACTGACATTTAATTGGAACAGATACAGGGTGATCAGATTTCTGAATCTTGAAGCACCCTGTATTTTTTTCAATAAAATTGCAGTAGATAGTGAATCAAAAGTTGAGATAGGGACATGTGAGCCGTTTTGATCAATAATGAATAGTTTCGACACAAAAAAATCCTAAAATTGAAAAATCTAGATTTTGAATACCCTATATCTCTGTAATCATTTCTGCTAGACCCCAAGTGTGATACATTGATGAAATCAGCTCCTCAGGAAGAATCTGAAAATGCAATAAAATACAGGGTGTTCCATTTGAAATAACAAAGTTGCTAGTTGTTTCTGATAGAAGTGGCAACACTGTATCGATGAAAATATTTTATACGAATAGAGAATTTTCAATTATCAAAGCATCCCAATTTTCAGAATGTTCTGTCTTTTTGTTCTCCAGATACTTCTAATAGGCCATCCAACGTGCCCCACCCTGTATATTATTACCTACTACTACTAAGGAAACAAATTCAACAGTGGTGAACTAATGAGGTCTAATTGATCTTCAGTTTGTTTATTTCTTATGATTCAAAATGATTGAGTTTCATTCCTGCATTTGCTACGTGTAGAATTCCGAAATTATCATCAAAACTATGATTTTCTTTTAATATACAGGGTGATTCAAAAGTAAGCGGCATCCTTTCAGAGGCGTATTCCTTGCTTGAAAATAAGGCAAAAAGTTCCTATTGATAAGGATCCGAAAATGCTTCCTAAGGGAGCTACGGCCCTTTGAATAGGACACCTCAAAGACGGTTTTTTCTCTATAACTTTAAAATCCTTCACAACAAATTTTTAAAAATTGGTGTACGGCATAAACATTCGATGGTAAATAGGACTCCGTATTCGAAATTTCAGAATTTCATTCAGGGGCGTCACATGCGGGAGAGGGTAAGTGTAAAAATATCCCTTCTTCTCCGGATATTCAGGTTACTGTGATTTCGTTTGGAAATTATTTCGAATACGGAGTCCTATTTACCATCGAATGTTTATGCCGTACACCAATTTTTAAAAATTTGTTGTGAAGGATTTTAAAGTTATAGAGAAAAAACCGTCTTTGAGGTGTCCTATTCAAAGGGCCGTAGCTCCCTTAGGAAGCATTTTCGGATCCTTATCAATAGGAACTTTTTGCCTTATTTTCATGCAAGGAATACGCCTCTGAAAGGATGCCGCTTACTTTTGAATCACCCTGTATGGTTGCCGCATGTTTTGTTTTTAAAAATATTCGTCTTATGTTCATCAATGCGCTGATTAAACGTACGAACTGTCTGACCGATATACAAGGTGTTTTTGAAATATGTGCACATATTCAGCACATCAATATAATACACTCTAAGGAGTATTCCCATGATATCAGATTCTTTCTAATTCTAATTGAAGATAAATGTCATCACAAAAGTGAACAAAATAGGATAAAAAAATTAAGTACTCTCTTTGAGTAAGAAAACAAATTGGAAAAAGAGGTCACAAAGAGAGAGGAACTCAAAGTCATTACCACACTAGTTCATAAAATAAACGGAAATGGTTGATAACGAGAAAAAAACAACTTCTTTCCTGGCTATATGGCACAAAGGACATAGGATAACATCCTCCCGAAATCTATGCGATAATTCATTTACACGAATAAAATCGCAAGTGTTTCCTGCCTAAACGCTAAGCTGCGCTTAAGTGGTTCAGGAACGCGTGACTACCTACAGACCGGTTTCGAGCTGTTGGCTTTCATCAGTGCGAGGCTGTCCCAGATAGCCCCTTGACCGCTATCTGGTGCGAACTTGACCCAACGTAAACAAATCTCAGTATTCATACCAGATGAGGCGTTCGACGTCCGCGAAATGAAAAAGCGAACGCCGAACGCCACCTGGCAAGGAAAGGAGCACTCCAAGACTCTATCCCATTTCAGGTGCAATGGGAGTGGCTGGTTGCACACCTGGCGTATTTTCAACTAGGAAATAGCCAAATTTAATACTCAAAGTGGAATGTAATGGTCACAAAGAGAGAGGAACTCGAAGTCATTACCACACTAATTCATAAAATGAACGAAAATGGTACCTAGATGACGAGAGAAAAACAACTACTTTCCTGGCTATATGCCACGCACAATACCAATATGTTTACTATTGAAATGAGAATTAACATGTATAGGAGGAGTAAACTCGTATTAAGCTTGAAATTTTCAAAAAAATCATTCGTATCAGTAATATGGGAATTGTATCTCTCACAAACAGATTATATGACCTTATTCGAATGAAATCATTTCAAATTTTGAATCCTCCTCGGTAACTTGAAGTCTAGTTATTCTTTCAGCCATTCTTCATGATGATATTCACAATTTTCATCATCTTTTTATGATGCAACAGAAACTATTCGCGGGAATCAATGTTACCAGGTGGCGCTCGGTTTTCATCGTTCCATGTCAAAGCCACGTTAAAACTAGGGAAAAACAAACTCAATCCTCACTCAATCCCATTAGTGCCATAAGCTTGTGAACTGTGTACTGATAAGAGTGATAACACTTTATGTCATTGGCGAGTTTGACAACTACAGCTACAGCAAGATGGATGCAATGTAGTCTATGCACTTCATCCATAGACAACAGTTTGTTTTCCCCCAGTTTGAAGTTCGTATTGTGTAACCTAGATGTCGCCCACTTCGTGAATCTCGCGAGTAACGAATTGAATCTGAGAATTATTTGTTGACATTTAATCCCGGTCATCTGGTAGTTGGAGTATACTTACAAATTTGACCACAACTGTGTCATTCACTGTCACTTCTGATGGTGGTTGTTGAATGCAGTCTCCAAAATTGAAGAACCAACCAGAGGAATCGAAGATCACTGGAGGGACAAGGCCCAACAAATGTTTTGGGAATTGGTAGGGAGAGGCTTCAGATGTCACCGCTACATTCTGAAATGATACGAAACTCTGTAAGTTGGGTCGAATGAAATCAAAATACGGCATTTATTCATTATTCCAGATTTGTCGGGATTATCTCTCCTCGTTTCTATTAAATAAAAATATGGATATTCTTTCAATATACGTGTAATAAGGACAAATCAGATGATTTGCCGCAATATGTCACTGCGTTTGAAAAAGTTTCCTTTCAGAGAACCTGAAAGGAAATTTGGCAGCTTGTCAGTGACAATCTGTAAAAAAAAGGTTTGGAGAAGAGAAATAAAGGTATATAGGAGGATTATCAAATTTTCACTCAGATTTGGACGTTTCGAAAACGAATATGCTCCCGTTCTCTCCACAAAAAATGGGTATTTGAATAGCAAATTCGTATTTGTCCTGACACTTTTTAGTTCTTAGTGACAATTAGTGAAGTTGGCAATCAAGGCGGCTCGGTGGTCGAGAGCGTGAAGGCGCTGAGTTCGTATGGGGACTCCCTCCGAGACATAGGTTCGAATCCTAGTTAGGCCACGCATGTTTGTGTTTGTCTGCTTACCTAACCCCGCACAAATTTCGACTTATGGAGCGTTTGGTCCCAGTGCTGGGACCAACGAGGTAATGCAATTGCAAAAAAAAGAGTTACACGATGTTTTTATCAATCAATCTTGAATTTAGCATTTTCATTTTCAGATTTTAGTAGTGAATACCATGTTCTATCCTCATCAACTGAACAGGTAGCGATGTTATTGTCTCCGTTCAGAAGAATGCGAGCAGATTCCTTGATATTCCTCTACTGGTTGTTATGATTTTGATATTGTTCCATTGTCCCATATGTTGTCCATATCTTCAGTAAGGATATGTTCAGCTGGTTTCAATTTGTCGATGTGTCTTTTTTTATATTGTATTTATGTTTCTTCGTCCTTGCTGAAAGAGGTCTTTTGGTTGTTTCACCTATATAAAACGGGAGCAGATTCGTTCTCGAAACGTCTAAAGCTGAGAAACGAATTGATATTTTCCCTATATAATAATAATAATAATAATATCGTCTTTATTATTTTCTTCCTCTTCAACGGTACAGTCATTAGAATAAAAATAATATATATATATATATAACATATTTAACTTCGGAAGAAAATTAAAAGGCGGAGTTCAATTTCAATAGTGACGAATCACCATTGAGATTGCTCTTCCACTCAACCTAGAACATATCGCTTAATGCTTCTATGAAGAATATAAATAATAATCAAATATAATCGCTAAATGGTAGTTATTATTAGGGGTGATATTAACATAGGGATGAGATAGGTGGTTTGAATGTTAGAATCAGTTACCGCAAAAGAAATTCAGTGAATTCATTTTTGAACCGATACACATTTTTCTGTTTGATTGAATCAGGAATGCCGTTATACATTGCATATATCTGGTACGTGAAACATCTTCGAAAAATCTCCAAACGAAATATTGGAGGGGTAAGTCGGCCTTTGTGCCTTATATTAAGATTATGCACGTCAGTTCTAAACGAAATTTTCTCATGTAGGTAAGGAGGGTTTTTTTCCATGATTATCTTGTGGAATAAAGTGGCAGCATGTAGTTTTCTCCTATTTTCCATGTCTAACCATCCGATAGTTTTCAATTTGTGAGATATTCTCTCTTTCTTTCGGATACCAAAAATAAATCGTAGGCATGAGTTCTGAACCTTTTGGATTTTTTGTTTGAACTGAACGGTTAAACATGGGCCATACAATACATCGGCATAATTGAAAACAGATAGAACCAAGGCTGCACATAATGTTGTTCTCACTTTAGGTGGTAAAAAATACTTGTTGCCATAAATAACTTTAAGTGAGTAATATGCACGATTGACAAGTTGAGCTACATGCTTTTCAAATCTCAAGTCTTCATCTAAAATTACCCCTAGGCTCTTCGCTTCATGTACTACCTCCAGTTGCTCATCATTTATCTTAATATTAGTGTGGAATCGAACAGTATTCCTAGTATGCTTGGGACCAAAAACAATGACTTTAGATTTACTATTGTTTATCATCAGACAATGATCAGAGGCTTTATCTACAAATGAGTTCAAATCACTATTTATTCTACTACAAGCATCATCCACCTTGTCCGAGGAAAAACTATAATATAGCTGAGTATCGTCCGCATAGAGATGGATATTACAAAACTGAAGGCATTTCATAAGCTGCGAGGTATAAATGGCGAATAGCAAGGGTCCCAAAATAGAACCTTGGGGCACTCCACAACGTAGATTTAAATATTGTGAGTGATTTCCATCAATAGAGATACTTTGTTTACGGTCGTTGAGAAATGATCTGATTAAAGATACTGCACTGTTAGAAATTCCAATGTAACCCAATATTGACAACATTAAATTGTAATTGATTGTATCGAAGGCTCTACTGAAGTCTAGAAGAACTAGTATAGTGTTTTCACCCAAGTTACTGGATCTTATAATATCATCAACTATATGCAACAGGGCAGTTGTGCAGCTGTAACCTTTACGAAATCCAGATTGAGTATTCGGAAGTATGGAGAAATGGTTAATATGTTCTTTCAGTTGTTCCTCAATGGCTCTCTCAAGTAGCTTAGATGAAGTTGGTAATATACTTATAGCACGTAGATCATTGTAACTCATTGGATTCGCTTTTTTAGGCAACACCTTCACAAGTGCCCTCTTCCATACAGATGGAAAAATCTCATTCATGAGGCAAAAGTTGACAATATGCGTTATGTATGGAATAATATGTGGACAGCACATTTTAATAAGTTTTATGTTCAAAAAATCACTACCCATTGCATTTGATTCAATATTAGAAATAGTTTTGAATATGAACATATCATTTACTTCATGGAATTTGAAATCATGGTCTATCAGCTTATTTTCCCTATAAAAAGAAATGAGTTCTACAGGCGGCTCCTGAAAAGGAATAGAATTAACAAAGAAGTTGTTGAGCTCATTTGGATTTTTCAAATCGTCTGGAATATCACGTTTTTAATCGGGTAAAAAATTATTAGATTTTAACGTTTTCCAAAAATTTTTCTTATCATTCCTACTGAATTCAGAAGCGAAATAAGCTCTTTTTTCCCTCTTGACTGCCTGATTTGTGTAATTTCGCATGTCTTTGTAGAACTGAAAATGAGCTAATGATTTTGATTTTTTATATCTGTTAAAAGCTTTGTCCCTTATTCCCATCATCTCTTTCAAAGTCCCTGTCAGCCAGGGAGCAGGCTTTTTAGTTATCCTTGATGTTGTTAATGGTGCATGTCTATCAAAAAGGTTCGTTAAACAATTAACCAGGAATGAAATTTTTTCATCGACTCCCTCTTGATCATAAATATTAAAAAAAGGTATGTTGTATAAGTCTCTACTGAAATCATATTCGTTCAGATATTTGAAGTTTCTACAGGTATGAAATTTGAATTTTTTTTCGCCAGTTATGATATTTATTTTACAATGAACCAACATGTGATCAGTTACCCCAATCACATCAACAACACCCTTGTCCATTACCCATTCCTTTTCAGTTACCACTACATCTAATAGGGAGGATGTGGTTTCCGTTATTCTTGTGTGGTTCTCTATTACTTGGCTCAAACCAAAGCATTGCATAACTGATAATATTTTTTCAACAGTGGCATTATCATACTGCGCGAAGTTGATATTTAAGTCTCCTCCACAAATAATTCTATCCACCGAGGGATAAATTACACTCAATGTGTCTTCAAACTCATCAATAAAAGAAACGTCATCCTGAGCTGGTGGTTTATATATTACTCCAAGAGCTATTTTCGTATACCTTCACTTTTCTTCTCCGAACCCTTCTCAATACAAATTGTCACTGACAAGCTAGTGAATGTTTCTTTTAGGCTCTCTGATAGGAAAATTCTTCAAACGCAGTGACATTTTGGGGCAAATCATCTGATTTGTCCTCACTACAGGTATATTGAAATGATATTCATATTTTCATTTTATAGAGACGATGAGAGAAAATCCCAAAAATCTGGAATAATGAATTTACTACCTCCTGGATTAACCTACAGACAGTATGACATTTATTATTCGCGTGCTTCTGAGATAGGTATAATCTCGATTATCTCTCAAGGAATTTTTATTGTAAGTAACAGATCGAATTGTTATGACATCAGTCGTATGCTTATCCTCTGGAGAGGAAGAAACAGATGAATTATGCAGAGAAATAAAGGTGACTCGTAACCAATTCACCCCCCTGTATCTTCGTTAATTTTATTGCACGAGTGAATGATTTTGCTAGTATCAGGAGAAATATAAGACTTCTGGTTTGACCGGAAGTGCATCCAATTTTTCAATTTCAAATAGAAAGTTTAATTTTGACTAGATATTGCGATTCAGTATGAAATGACTTTTCTAATGATATATCACTATTATATTCGGAATATTTTCATGAGTATGGAAGTACTCACACAATAACTTTTTTCTAAAAACGTAAAAAAAAAGACAAGGTTGGCGCATTGATAACAAATTGCGAAGTGACACTTTTCTTCAGTTTCCTACGTTACCATGATACCTTGCACAAAACAACGCATGAAGAAAAACAGTGCGCGAAGTACTTACTTCGCACATTGGTATGTAAAATATATGAGCTATTTATATTTCAACTTTATGGTTCTCAATCGAGCAAAAATCATTTATTCCTCAATGTTCAACAATAACTTTGTTTTATCTCTTGAAACGCAAGAAAGGAAATTCCTATTATGTTCGTGGAACATCGTGTGTACCTAGGGAGTATAGGGGGAGCAGGCCATTTAAGCCAGTTCGACACAATTCTTAATATCAAGCTGAGCATATTTTTACTTCCCCTTATAACACACTTATGTCCCATGGATATCCTTAGGACGTCCTGTCGGGACATTCAGGACGTCCACAGGACGTTCGAATTTGGTACCGTGGACGTCCATTGGACTTCTGTGGGATGCACAAATGTCCTACTTGAGGACCAACTAGGGACGTCTTTGTGGGACAATATCGAATACCTAAATCCTACAGTATTCCTCATCAAGTACTACAGAGGACATCCTTAGGACATCCATAGGACAACCAATCAGCAAGGCTGAGGGATATCAATTGGATGTCCATAGGATGTCCCAGGGACGTACGAATGATTCTTACATTTGAATTTTTCTGGGTCCCTCTAGGACCAGATCTTGCATAACTGATTAGGACATCCAGTTGAGTTGATGGTCCGTAGAAGGTCCCAAAAAAGTTCTCCAAGGATGTTCAATGGACTTACGTGAAGAACATTGACGAGGAGTACTTATAGCCTACGAGCAATCATTCGTCGGCGAGGTCTAAGTTAACGTCCTCGCAGGGACAACATATTGAAAGTACCGACTGGGACGTCCATAGGACGTTATTTCTAGGACATTGGAAGAGTACAGTTCAAGTACCAATTGGGACCTCCGACGGATAACTCTAAGGGACATTCGAAGGATGTTCCTAAGAGACATTTCGATTGTTATACGATCCTGGAAATATTAAGGGCGTCTGTGCAGAGATATTTGAAGGAATATACCATCAGGGACATTTCATGGTTGTCTAGAAAGGATATTATATAAGATCTCAAGCTATGCCAGAATAGTACTACTCGGGACATCCGATGGATGACCCTATAGGAACGTTTAAAATCATATCTCATCAGGGACATGCTAAGGACGTCCTTGCATGGACATTCTACAATATGTACCACGTGGGTCTGAGGGATGCTATTTCTAGGTATTCTAGGACATTTGAGATGAAGAACCAGCTGGGATATTCGGTGGACGTCCTTGCTCGGAAATTATTATTGCGTGAGATGTACGGGATGAGACGTCCCAAGGACGCTAATTATTTTTGGTTCGGGACATTCGGACGTGAATTGTACCAAATAGGGACGTCCCTAGGACGTTGTGTGCTACTAGGCAAAACCGTATTTGTTGACGTTTGTTGAAAGAATGTTGTTTGCAACTCGAGACAAAAATATGTTGGTCATCTCGACAATTTTTTCAACTTGGCTACGCCTCATTTGCGCTGTAGATACGAAAATAACTCATATGCACACTAAAAATGTTTACAATTTCAACTTTTCTCAATTTTTCAACACCATAAATGATAATGATAATAATAATAATAATATAAGTTTATTCACAAACGTTTACAAAATATACATTGGAATAAACATATAGGTAATTTGAATAAACTGGGAAAAACCTTACGAAGTTAACCTTGTAGTAAGGATAAAGAATAAATAAACGTACATAGGTCAATATAGTAATTTTCCTAACAAGTGCGGAAAGTGATTCTTTCCCGCACGTGACTGCCTTTGACACGAACGACGCGAAGCGGAGTTCGGGCAAGCAGTCGAGTGCGGGAAAGAAACTTTCCGCATGAGTTAGGATTCATATTTTTTCTACAAGCGTAGGAAATTGATTGAATCGTTCGATTAATTATTCAAGCAAATATAGGAACAACTAACAAGAGATATATATTCTCTATCTATTAATTATTAGTAATAGCTATTGTGAACTTACAGTTTGACGCATTATGTTGGTTCATTGCGGAAGCCAGCAGGCCCATTAGGAGTTTGGTCTCTAGGTTCCAGACACTTCTATGAAATGAGCCAAAAATACCTATTCTTCATTCGGTATTTTCATTTCTTTATTGTTGCACCATTCAATAAAACGCGTGTATAGCTTCTCATAGCTTTCTTAAGACTTCGTTGGTGATAACGCATCTGTATCGCATCCCTACAGCTGGAAGTTTTTGATCACATTGTGGCATTTCCACTGAATCGAAAATGACAGTAACGCTGTGTCTGTCACTTCGACAATTTTAAACTTATTTGAGGTTTGATTGGCATGACAAATTGACGTTTCCCGTCAGATCAATCAAAATATATAGGGGGATTATTATAGTAATCAATTTTTATTTCTCAATATTTCTGAATTTTTACAATAAATAGTGCAATTCGATGGATGATTCTGAACATACATACTTAATACTGCAACAAACAAACTTAAACTTTTATATTCCATCACCAACCACTTATATTACTAGTGCGGGAAAATGACACTTCCCAAACTAAATTGCGTGCGGGTATAGGGTGAATCACGCACGCTTGTAGAAAAAATATTTAACAATATCAAATTATCACGAGGGAATATTGTCTCATAATTTTTCTTTGAAGTTGTGTAGAAACATCCACAAATTATATTATCGATGATGGCGCTTTCCTTGAACCCAATGACATTTTTCTTCAACCACCTGTTAGATCGGAAGTGGACCAAACTTTTTTTTTTTTTTTCAAATGGCCTTCTGGATATTTCTGTAGCCTTTCTTGTTCGCCTTGAAATTCTCTAATCGACTATGTGTCACATTTGGTATTTGTTCATTAATTGACTGTTAAATTGCATTTTATTGACATACATTAAGTTGGCTGTGGCTCGAATACAATGACATTTCGATTATTGATAATCTCAGAAATTCAAAGATCATCACTTAGACGATATTATCAGAATATTTTCCGTACCCTAATCGGTCCCAGAAAATTGCCAATAATTTCATTGAGTTTAAAAAAATCATCCGAAAATATTTCACGATATTCAGATACCTGAGATAGAAACGTTTTTTTCATTTGGCTGTATACTTGTGAAGAAACTATTCATCTTTCATTCCTGCCATGTAGCCATAATGAATGATTACTCATTCGGATACATAAAACTGAAATTGATGTAATAATAATTGATGTATCGTCCTTATACATCTGTTCATGAGCCTACATTAGTGTATTTTCAGTATAATTTCGCTTATCAAATTGTAATACATAGTTGGATAGAGAATTTTGAGGCTAATAAAAAAGGCTAGAGAAATATACAGGATGTCATCTGATAACAAAAAAGTTGGGTCTTCTTCCGATCAAACAAGTGGTTGAAGAAAATTGTAATTGGGTTCAAGGAAAGGGCCATCATCAATAATATAACCCTTGTGAATTCCAAATTTTTATCTCTTCAGATAATGAAACTATACAAATTGTAGATAAATCGTTGAGAGGATAATTTTATACTGAATCGTAATTTGTAAAAAACAAATCATACTTTGTTTTCAAAATGGAAAAATTGGATGCACTTCCGGTCAAACCGTAAGTATCATATTGGGTCTGATACTAGCGAAATATTACACCCATGAAATCATGTCGATGTCCAAATTTGGAACATCTATACAAAATAGCGACGAAGATACAGGGGGTAAATTGGTTTCGAGTCACCAGCTATAGTTTTTCTCTTTATTTCAAATATGTTCAATTCACGAAAGTATTCACAACAATATCTGCATTGAGATTCTTAATGTGGTGAATCAGCTTGGGAGAACTGATAATTTGAAATGAAAATTACCTACTGAGACAACAAATTCAGAAATGATGAATTGTTGAGGTTGAGTTGATCGTTGAGAGACCTGACCTAAGCTGAGAAAATTATCCTTCAATCAAAATTTCCATACATACATTCATCATGTTCGAAGCTAGCTCTTTGTATAACTTCAAGTAGATCGTCAGAGTGTGTGGTCCATAAATTGTTGAGGCTCCCTCATACCTTTGCAACTGAAAAAATAAAATATCACATCATGAATGCAATCGTCATTGTTGAATGAGAAATTAATTTCTATTTCTTCAAAAGTACTACCAATAAACAACTACCCAAAATGTGTACACCATATTCAAATATGTACTTGAATTCAGTAAAAAAGTACTTAAAATACTTAAACTAGTACTCAAGGTACTGAAAGTAATAAATAGGTAGTGAAATTACTTGACAAGTACTTGAAGTTTGATGTATAGTATTTAAAAATATTCAAGTGTACTTAGAGTACTAGAAAGTAATTAATGCTCGAATTAATGTGCTTTGAGGTGATTAGGTATAGCACGTTCTAAAAATACTAAATATCAATAAATTTGATATTATACAAGGTATAGGTCATTGAAGGTAATACTAGTGATGATTCCTGTTTTATGTTGATCAAGGTGGTGGAATGTTGATTTCAATAGATTTTTTGTGCTTTTATCTCCTTCGGAGTTCTAGACGTTTCAGAAACGAATCCCATTGACATTTGCCAGTGAGGACTGACTATAATGACAAAAATACAGTGAAAACCAGTAGATGTTCTATTTCAATATTGAAAACAATAGCCAATTCATTCTTGAAATGTTCAAAAGAAAAGCGAGGAGAGAAAATCCCAATGAATTTAGAGAACTCATAATATTCAATATCGATAACGCTCGCTGTCTGTGATTATCATGGATGATCAAGGTGATACTCACTACAAATAATAATTCCAATTTCTGACTCTATATAGTCTGTTTGATAACACATCTTCGGACGGAAACAAAACAAAAATTCAGGTACTGAAACTATAAAACGGATAATAAAATGGAAACAAAAATCTCATGACAAACTTGAAATATCACACAACATAGCTCCCAGAAAGCACGGGACGTCCCGAAGACGTCCATTTTATGTCCATTTTTGGTCTGAACGTCCAGGACCTTTTATGGACGTTTTCAAGACGTCCATTATTGGACATACCCGGGACGTCCAGGAAAAGACGTCTTTAAAGCGTCCAGTTTACAGACTCTTACGGTATATCATTTTCAATTATTATACTCAAGTAGGTAGTTATTTATTGATTCTGAAATTAGAATTATTGAATTGAATATGGACATAAATGATTTCAAAAAATATATTATTTATAAGCAAATTCAATATATTGAATTTCATGTTATTATTAATATTATGGATTTGAAATATTGATGATTTCAACTCATTCCTACCTACTTATATAGTTATGTTGAATTATATTACTTCAATCACAAAATACCTATAAAGTTTGACCATGAATCACTGAATATGTAAAGCAACCGTAGAACGCATGCGTGCCAGACCTACTATTTTAACAGTTGATCTAGGTACTGTTTTTTGTCTCCGTTCTACCGTTCAACTATTCAAGGCAATAGTCTGAATGCTCATGTTTCGATATGACATAACTACCTGATATGTAACAATGAAAAATTAATGGGGCATCACAGTAAGAAGATGTATGATAAAAATATACTGAAATTATTATATTCAGTCTGATTAGTAGAAATAAGTTCTTACTTCATAATTTTCTGTTATTCTTTGTTCGATTTCTGAGGTATAGAGACTGAACATGAATTTTCTTTCGTTTATTATATAGGTGACTACGTTTTTTCATTTATAATATCAGTTTTGATGATCAACTGTTTTTTCCTCACCCATCTACTGCTCCGACAATTTTTCATCTGGCAACACTGTGCGTGTTACGTGAAACGAAAGGGCAATGGGAAGATGGCGTCCGTCAGTTGACCACTGCCGAGTGCCAAACATTCTGAACTTTCCGGGTTATTTGACTATAAAAGCAGTGAAGTGAAATCTTTGCGGATATCATCTATCAACTGGTGAACTTCGATATCAACTTCTATCAAGATTTTATGTGCTAACAACAGCATGAAGGCAAGTATGGCTATCGATGCTATCGTTTTATTTTCATTTGCTTGAAGATTCTTCATTTGGTTAGTGGTAAAACAGTGTAGTGTATCAAATCTGGAGTTGAAAACATTAGATACTTCTCTATATGATTTGATTTCATGCAAAGTTATACCTAATTCTATATTTCCATTACCTACGAAAGTTTACATTTTTGTATATACCTAATTAAAACATAATATTTCGTGCAAGAGGTGTTTTATATACCTAAGAATCAGTTTGTTCGAATAAGTGCTCAATGAAATAAAAATAATAAAGTATTCAGCTATACTGACTACTACACGTTGAAAGTGGGTTTGTTTGATGGTTTATGGTATTCACAAATTCACAGAAGATGTTATTGAATATTATTATTATTATTTACAGATGCAGTGAAGAAGACAACAGAAGGCTGCCAATCAGAGACATCATCGCGCATGCGTAACTGGTGACGTTTTCAGTGGTGCAGCTGCTGATTTACGATATAGAAGAGTGAAATTGAAACAACTACCTGAATCTCTGTTCATATCATTATGTGCGAATAAATGTATACTAATATTCAAGTATTTCACTCTTCAGATGGGCCATAAAATAAATAATCAATATAATCTGAATGTCCTCAATACGTCCATTTTTGGTTTCAAAAAGGTCCTAATCTGGACCTAAAATGGACGTCATCAAAACATCCTGATTAGTAACAATGGACGTCCCCAAAACGTCCATAGGACGTCCGTCGTCCGGAAATGGACGTCTTCAAAACGTCCTGAATGTACAGAGTGGACGTTTTTAAAACGTCCATAAGACGTACTCGTGCTAGGTAGGGACATGTAAACTTCAAAACAATGAATAATGTCCTCCTAATACCATCGAATCGGATTATGAATGGAAGAAGTCGTCCGCCATCTTATTGGATCCATCATCTTGAATTCAGGAATTTTGTCAAGAATAGCGAAATTTCCGACCCCAAAATCCTCACATATCAAATTTGAATTGAATTTGACGATAATCAACAAAAACGTCTACCATCTTAGAGTCGCTATCCTGAAATTATGGATTTTGAAAAAAAAATTCTAGATAATATACGACCCCAAAATAGTCTTGTACTCTTCCGCCACGAGTCCATCATCTTGGATTCATGAATTTCGACAAAAAAATCATAATTTCCAATCCCAAAAATCCTCACATACCAAATTTGAATAGAATCTGATCATGATCACGAAACTTCGGAATCTTATTGAGTCGCGCTCTATTGGAATTAGGAATTTTGAAAAAAAAAACACAATTTCCGAGATAATCTCCGACTGAAAACCACCATCTACCAATTCTGAATCGCATCGGACTATAATCACGACGAAACTCGTCCGCCCTAGCTGTCATCTTATATTTTCATACATTTTGACAGAAGAATCATAATCTCCGACCCTGGAAACCCCCGTATACCAATTTTGAATAGAATCGGATCATAATAACAAAACTCGTCCGCCATATTGAAACCGCTATCTTGATTTTCCCAATTGTGTCGAGAGAATCATAATCTTCGACCCCGAATACCCTCGTATATCAATTTTGAATAAAATAGATTCATTATAACAAAACCCGTCTGCCATATTGGGGCATCCATCTCGAACTTTTCAATTTTGACAAAACAATTATATTTTCCGACCCCGAAAACCCCTAGATACCAATCTTGAATAGAATCGGATCATAATTATGGAATTCGTTCGCCATATTGGGGCCGCCATTTTGAATTTTCCAATTTTGAGAAATCAATCATAATTTTCCACCCCAAGAACCACCATATTACAAATCCTATTTGACCTTGAATGTGCCAAGATGGTTTTGTCCGGAGACGCTCGTTTCAGTTCCCTACCCAACATTCAACGTTCACCTTCACCCTTCAGCTTGTCTATAGAATGTCAGAGTGTCAAAAAATAATCGTTTCTGATTGGTCGTCACCTCTGGCAACACGTGGCAACACCGTCTAATTGAAAGATCAATCGACTTACCTGAAGGAAGAGTGATCTCAATTATATGAGCAGTCTCGTCGAAAGATTATATAAACACCCTGTAGTCCTAGCGCGCTATACCTTGCCTACGACGTTTAAAGAAATACAAGTTTTTTGTTTATTAGTCACCGGTATTTCTTTATCACTTCCCGAACTTGATTTATCTTCATTGGTTCAGAGTACTTACCTACCTAGATTGCAAGGGAGGGTATAGTTGGGAGGGAGGTTTATAATCTTTCGACGAGACTGCTCATATAATTGAGATCACTCTTCCTTCAGGTAAGTCGATTGATCTTTCAATTATATTTCGCAGTCTCGTCTCAGATTATAAACACCCTGTAGATGTTGAGAGACTGGCTAGCAATCTAGGTGGACACATTATGTGTTTGACTTTCAATAGTAGGTATATTCATTCATTATTATTAAATGTTATTGAAATGTCAATGTATAATGTAAATAAACAGTACATTTATTAACATGTAGAAAAATAATATATACAATCATACGCAATATTCAACGATATGGTATATAAGTAATTACGATTACAAAACATATTTCCATCATTTTAACTTTAGTTAAGTATATTATACAATATACATATCAATAAATATAACAAAATATACAACAAAATTTGGATTCTAAATTTTCATTTTGAGTTCCTCAATGTATCTTTCGACATACGATTCATACAAATTCGTTCTGACATATAGATTGTTTTCATAAATAAGCCTACATAACTATACTTCAAAGCCTGAACTTCTTAATAAGCCTTTCGCGAAATCATTTGGGTATGGTTCGACAGGTTTATTATAAAATTTTGCAAATACTGCTGATTTGTTGGTCCAGCCAGCAGCCTTTCTGATGGATTCTATATTTGCGCCACCTCGATAAGCTGCTGAGGTTGCAGCGTGACGCGAGGAGTAGGCTGTGAAGACCTCAGTGTCTATGCCACACTCATTAAGAATATTTTTTATCCAATGACTGATGGTTTGACTGCTAGCTGTACGAAAGGGTTTTTTGATAGTTAATATAAGGTGGCTATCATCGGCTTGCCGGGTATTTTTGGTTCTTAGTAGGTATTCTATGACGGTCGATGCCAAGCATAATTCTGGTTTCTCGTGGAAAAAAGGAAGTATGAGAACAGGTTGAAGCCTATTCCTTCCCGATGTTTTTATTCTATCGGGTACATATATCATAATAGACTCAGGTGTTTGTTTGATATTTTCTATTTTGATTTTTGTTAAGGTTTGCAATCTTTGACCGGAGATCAGTATCATCAGAGTGACCATTTTTTGAGTTAATTGTTTCATTGTGATGTTTTCTAAAGGATACCATTTAGATAAATGATCCAGAACAGGATATGGGTCCCAGGTGGAATTATATTTGGGCTTGGGAGGATTTAAATTATAAATCCCTTTTAGGAAACGTTTGATCATATTTTGGTCCTGTTCTTGAATTTCAAGAACAAGTGCCAGTGCTGATTTATATGAATTAATTTTTGAATACGAGCACCCCAATTGTGAGGTTTCTGTAAGAAAATTTATTACGGACTTCAAATCGTATTCGTATGGTATTTGATTATTATTTATGCAGTATTCCCACCATTTCCTGAATACAGACTCATATTGAGTGAGTGTTTTCTCGGTTATTGAGGAAAGAATTGCTTCTATACCTGATTCTGGAAATTTTCTTCGAAGAAATGATTGCCTGATAAGATTCCGACCTCCTGGATAAGGCTCCTTGAAAGGGGGTGGGGTTCCCTGAAAGGTGATAAAATAAGATTGGCTTCGGGTCCTAGACATATTGATTCTCTGACTAATAACTTCCTAAACATAGGATACCAGGGTTGAGCTGTCCATTTTGGTACTACTAAGATACCGATTGCTTTATCATTAATTATTTTCCTGATTATTTTATTAATGATGGTAAAGGGTGGGAAGGCATAAAAAAAAATATGTTTCCAGGATATCAGAAAAGCATCGACAGAGCATGATTCAGGATCTGGTTTCCAAGATACATATTGTTCGCATTTAGAATTCAGATTAGAGGCAAATAGATCTATTTGTGGTTTGCCAAACTTTTTGCAAATTATTCTGAAGTGCTTCTGTGAGAGTTCGTACTCTGTTTCAATGTCTCGACATCTGGATTCGTAGTCTGCTTGAGTGTTTTGTTTAGTGTTAATGTATGAGGCATGAAGGAATATATTCTTGCCTTCACAATAGCCCCATATTTCATGAGCGAGATCATTCAATTTCTCAAATTTAATACCCCCCATTCTATTTATATAGGAAATTGCAGTTGTGTTATCTATTCTGATAATAATTTCACAATTATTTTTATTTTTAGTAAAACACTTCAGAGAGTTCGAGGCTGCTTTGAGTTCTAAGAAATTGATGTGTCTTTTGCTATCTGAGTGATTCCAGAATCCTCGAGCTCTTTTATTATTACAAACGGCCCCCCAGCCGTACTTGGATGCGTCTGAATATATCTCCATTTCATATTTCGGCTCCTCGAGAGTCATTCGACTATTACCGACATGATATTGCCACCAGAGTATGTCTTCGTTAATGAAACTTGGTAATTGAAATGTCTTATCATAATCACCGTTATATTCTATTAAGGCCAAATATTTCGCCCTTTCCATTTTTTTTGTATGAACCCACCCGTATTTGACTGCCGGGCAAGCCGCGGTTAATACGCCAATAAATTTAGCAAACTCTCTTATGGAGACATGAGGATTATTTTGATACTTTACAGTCAATTGTTTGATATTTTGTTTCTTCTTTATTGGCAATGTCATGGTCATATCGATAGTATTGAATATGAATCCCAAGAAACGACAATCTTGTTTCGGTTCTAGTTTACTTTTTTCTGTATTTATGATGAAGCCTAATGATTTGAGCAGATTCACGGCTAGGAGAGTGTCATGTGCACATTCTTTATATGTCTGTGATATAATAATCATATCGTCCAGGTAAGCTACGCAAATAATCCCCTGGTTTCGCAAGTGGGACAGTACCGGTTTCAGGAGTTTTGTGAACACGTATGGTGCTGTGCACAAGCCAAAGGGCAAGCAGTTGAAGTTATATAGTGTGTTTTGAAATTTGAATTTTAGGTACTTTTTATGGTCCTGGTGAATAGGGAGTAAAAAGTATGCATCTTTGATATCAATAGTACAAACATAATTGCCATCATGTAAGAGGTCCTTGACACTACGATAGTCCTCTAATTTGAAATGAGGAGGATTTATAAATGAATTCAATTTTTTCAGATTCAATATAAATCTAAATGAACCATTTGATTTTTGTGTGAGGAAATAATTTGACAGAAACTCCCCGTTTTCGTGTTTGGAATGCGATATCGCACCCATGGTAAGTAACTCGCGGACAATATTGTCCACTGTTGTCATTTGACATGTACTTGTTATATCTGGGGGTTCTGTTCGTTGATATGGTTGTTCTTCGAAGGGAATATTATATCCTTTAGTCCATTCTAAAATTAGAGAACTATCTGTAATGTTCTTCCATACATTGGAATATTTTTTCAATCTACCGGCATAGGTTACCTCTACGTTCTCCTGCGTGGTGGTTCTTTCCTCTTCTCCCCTCCCCATCGCTGTTGCTGGACTGGCCTGTCCTTCCTGCCTCCCTCCTCTTTTTTGCGTCGAAATTTGCTCGATTGGCGCTTGAAGTTTAAAGGAGTTGCTGATGACGTTGTGGGTTGGTTGCTCTGTATCGAATTCGGACGATAAGTTGGCCGGTTGATTCGTTTCAATTTCAAATCAGCCGATGCCTTTTGAATGTCCTTGGTACTTTTGACATTATCGCCGAGGTTGCTCCCAAAAAGCCACTCATCAATTGGCCTGTCCATGACTGTTTTCTTGACCGAGTGATCCAGGGTCCCGGATACGCCATATCGTCGATGCGAGGAGATTGTATGATGAACATCTGCCAAAAGTTTAGCTGCGTTTGCTAAGTGCAGAAGATGTGGATTAGTATCATCTGCAGCTGATGAGAAAAAAGTGTTGAGCGGAATGGCTACTGCGCATATCGCGGCACTCAGTTGTTCCTGTACTTTTGTCAGGAAGCTGTCCTGCTTGTTTAGGTTTTCTGTTAAGCATCCTTGAATTTCGGGGTTCATCTTGGGTGGATTCAGGGCTGGCACGTTGTTAGGAGGTGGATATTTCTCGGTTAGCTCTTTTCGATCTACCTTCTCTATACCCTTCTGCAGAAATATGGTCCATCTACTTGCAATTTGCTCATGCACATCCGGGCCTGTTGGCCTAGTAGCCAACGGGTCCACTCCTAATATCTCTACGGCGTCCACCACCGGTTGTTCCATTATTGGTTGCAACTCGTCAGGAACAGGAGAAAGTACTTCCTGATAACTAACTTGAGAATCGTAATCGCTCTCAGATTCACTTGAACTTGAACTCGAACCTGTGTGAGGAACCAAGCATGAAAATCTATTCACATAATACATTTAGGTATTTAGGTATTAGTATATTCGTAATATCTTCCGATCACCCTGTACAATGGAAGACGGGTGACGTCATTAAAATTTGTTTAATGAACTCAGTTGTGCATGTGCACGATTATTGTGGGCATGAAATGTTTCAGCCCTTATTTTCTTCGTTTTTGTTGGTAAAGGTATAACATAGCACATGTGTGTAGTTAGGTACCTTGTTTGTTAGCGTTTCTAGTAAATACATGTGTATTTCCATATGAAACGAGAACCAACTAAATTTCGGCATGAAATGTATCAGCCGTTTTTTATTGAATTGCAAAAACTAATGTCTTGCGATCTTCCGCCTTGAATCATCTTGTTCTAAGTCTATTTAAATATATATATACATATATATTTTGATTAAGACATAATAAATTGACGTAACTATTTGAGGAATACGTAATTAATATATTGAACTTACTTTGGCGAATTGATTCCAACTCTTTTTGAATTTTTCTAAGTTTCCGCTGGAATTTGTCCATCAGTTTATCATTCCTGTGTCTTTTATTATTCCCCATATTCTTAAAGCACTCGAATATTTTTCACTGTTTTCACGTTTTCACTTATTTTTAAAATAACCGAAAAAAAACGTCTTATAGGCGCGGTACGACGAACTAGAATGAAGATAAATCAAGTTCGGGAAGTGATAAAGAAATACCGGTGACTAATAAACAAAAAACTTGTATTTCTTTAAACGTCGTAGGCAAGGTATAGCGCGCTAGGACTACAGGGTGTTTATAATCTGAGACGAGACTGCGAAATATAATCGTCTATCGGGGAGCTATGATTATGCTTCCTTCCACTTGCGCAAGAATGCGAACTTCTTGTTTTGATATAAAGGAGAGCGATTCCCAGGAAACATTCTACTCTACTATATACAATACTATACTACGCATACTCACTTGGTACTCCTCGTAGGTTGCGATATAGCTGGTGTAAACGTTGCTGAGCCCGCAAAGTATGACGCGCGCGTCGCTCGGTCCGCCATTATCTACGATCGCCTGCCTGACGGTGTCTCTCAAACGACGGCCCGACATCGTAGTGAATTCGCCCGAAACGGGCGCCAATACAGCGTTGCCGATCATCAGGATTTGCGTGGAGACCACTTCGGGCTGCCATTCGTAGGGTATTTTGATCTGGAACAATAATTGGTCACTTGAAAATTAAAATTTTCACGATGGGCGTCGATATAAGGATTCTGACTGAGCAAGTACCGAATAGATCAGAAATAGATATTTGCGTAACCAGTGAAGAAATGCGTCACTTGTGTGAGACAGAGTTATGTTCTTTGATAGAAACAGTCGCACCTGAAATATTTTCAACGTAATCATTGATAATTTGATAGTTTGAACTCATTCATCTCTGATATTTCAACTCGATTTGACAGTACATTATAAGGATTGAAATAGAGAAAATTCCTTTGTGAAATAATAAACCTTCTTTCAAGGATTCAGATATCATCAGAAATCCAAGTTTCATGACGGTGTCTCTCGAACGACGGCCCGACATCGTGGTGAATTCGCCCAAAACAACCGCCAACACAGCGTTGCCGGTCATTTATTTATTTTCAATGGGCGGTTTGATAGAAGAAGTGCCTTATTAGTATATTGTTTTGTGAATAAGTCTTCATTCACCAGTCAGAGTTAAGCTGAACAGGATTTGGAGTATAGACAATCGATTTCTACCTATATAGCAACTTATAATATTTCTCTTTTTCTACAGAAACAAGAATTCAAAATGGACTGAAGAAGACATGAATCAACAATATATTTATATATATGCAATCGACACCAAATATATATCTCAATAGAAGAAGCTATATTTGATACCTACTGATTTTTCATCATTTGATTCTCAAATCTATACTCCTGGCCCATACAGCACATGATATCCATTGGACGTCCATTTTAGGTTCATTTCAATTCCAAACGTCCATGGACATTGAATGGACATCCAATGTACGTACAAACATGGATTATCATTGGATGCTTCAAATTGTATGTACAGTGGGCGTCCACTCAATGTCCAACCACGCATGTACGTAGAATGTACATTCATTGTACTTATAAAGATGGATGTACAATGTATGTTTCAAAATTACCGTCCGTTGGACATCCATTTTATGTCAACTCAAGGACTAAAACTCTCGTGGACGTTTGATCAACATCCATTGCACGTACAGAGACGGACGTACATTGGATGATTCAAATTAAACTTACATTGGATGTTCATTTAACGGCCATTCTGAGTTCAAGCGTAAATGTATGAAGAATGAACATTATATTTATATGTATATAAATGATTGTTCAAAGTAAATGTCTGTATGGAATCATTTCAAATCTGAAGGTTTATGGACGTTGAATGAACGTACATTGTACGTTCATAGATGGGTAAGACTATTGATTTTTCAGCCACGTGGAGGGGAGGCAGAAGGTCAGATCGGTCGGTAGAGTAGCGGTAGCGTCTGGCGTGATTCTGATGCCATTTTAGGCATTTTCAGTTGGTAAATGACCGTAAACATGATGTGTTGTGTTTGTGATGAATTGTGGAATGCTGAATATTCAGGACCAGATTATTTGAAGTAGGTATGGAAGCATGCATGTTCGACTGTGACTTGATAAATTATCTAATATAGTTATAATCTTATGCTTTATCATCCCACAGGTTGTTATTGATTTTTAATGGGCGGCTTGATAAAAGAAGTACCTAAGTATATAGCAATGTAAATAAGGCTTCATTCACCAGTCAGAGTTGAGCTGAACAGGATTTGGGGTATAGACAATCGATTTTTACCTATGTAGCAATTCATAATATTCCTCTTTTTTTTACAGAAACAAGAATTCGAAGTGGACTGAAGAAGACATGAATCAACAATATATTCAGATATATGCAATCGACACCAAATATATATCTCAATAGAAGAATTTATATTTGCTACCTACTGATTTTTCATCATTTGATTCCCAAAGATGAGCATCCATTATACACCCACATGTAAACATCCAATGTACGTCCAAAGTGGTGTCCTCAAGACATCCAATGGACTTTCATTGGACGTTTAACGTCCAATTTGGTACGTCCAATGGATGCTCAGACATGTACATCCATTGTGAGTCCAAATATGAACATACACTGTACATCCACATGAAGAAATCCACAGAAAGTGGTGTCATCAGGACATCCAGTGGACGTCCATAGGATGTTAAACGTCCACTCGAGTACTTCCATTGGACGTCCTTACGATCCGACGTGGACGTACATTGTACGTACATTGGACATACATGTGCTGTGTGGGGGTGAATATGAGTTCTATAAAACTTTTGTAGAGAATATCAGGAGAGAGTACGACTGATGTATGATGGTGTATATGATTCATAATATTTATATGGAGATAGAAAAAAAGAGTGCCAATGAAGCTCATTTCGATCGAAGAGCTTTTGTAGAGAAGACAGTGTTTCAATTTTCATCTCGCTTATTGTTGAACTTCAATCACATTTTTGTATTATTTCTTCAAGTGGCAAACTCGGTGGAACACCCTGAATATAGAAATAACTCCTCGACCCAGTTTTTTGTGAATTGCAAATTTTTCCAAAGTTCAACACATTATTTGCAGGAGACATTGTATCTGTATCCTCTGGATTCATTCAGATGTACAATGGATGTACATTGGACGTCCAGAAAATACCCTGAGTGGTTGTTATTTGGATGATTTTTCAACATCCATTAAACTAAATATAGACATACAATGGACGCACAATGAACGTCCATTGGACTTTCTCTGGGCTTGGAATGTACGTCCAAAGTGGTGTCCTGGACGTCCATTGGACGTACATTGAATGTACATTGGACTATTTCTGGACATCCATTGGATGTCCGGAATATCCATATCCAACGGCCATTGTACATCCATTGTACGTACATGTGCTGTGTGGGATCAGGATTTGCATGGAGACCACTTCGGGCTGCCATTCATAGGGTATTTTGATCTGGAACAGCAATTATAGTCTCTTGAAAATCGAAATTTTCTCGATGAGCGTTAATATGACGATTCAGAAATGGACATTCGCGTAACCAGTGGGGAAATGCAACATTTGTGTGAGAACATAGTTATGTTCTCCGATAGAACTAGTCGCACCTGAGATATTTTCAACGTATGCATTGATAATTTGATGAAATAGAAACCCATTCGAGAGATCAGTACATACGATTTTCCTGTTCATTTGAACTCATCCATTCTTTATATTTCAGTTTGAAATGTCAACAATTGTTCCTTTCTTGGCAGTTCCCGCGAGATTGACCCGTCGAGTTGGGGCTTCGCACCCCTTCGTGGTCACTGAGGAGACCTGCAGAACATCTCTTTCCAAAGACTCGTTCATAGAACGAACGCGAGGCTCTGGAACACATTGCCAAGGAAGGTGTTTCTCGAGGCATATAACCTCCAGAAATTTGAGAAAAACACCAATTCCTATACCTCATTTCCCTTGGTTCTCACGATGTTCTCTGAACGTTATAGGATATCCCTTTTCGTGGGAACCAGAACATAAAGAAATCTAAACTACTAGAACCATCTGTGTTGCGACAAAATAACGCACTTGGTGAATGAAAAAGTATTGAAGTTTCACTCCCGGTTAGTTATTTTTTTACTCACATTGCCAGACATGATGAGAATCGGTTTTGGTGCATGACACGCCACGTCGTCAGGAGTTGGTGGGAAGATGAAATCTCTAACCAGGTTCCAGAAGGTGTTGCTGGTCTTGGTCGCTTGCGTGAAATCGAATTCGCCTGGTCCGTCTGTCGTTCCAGCAGCAAAACTGTAACCCATCGCTGGCGCACATCCTCGCACCTGAAAATAGATTAGTTGCCAGTAGTAGGGGTTGTTAGCTCGAAGAAATAGAAGATACACTGTTGGAATTTAGTTGTTAGTCCAGTCATTATAGACTTTGACCCGTGAATAATTTTTTAGTGTTTTTTTTTCATAGGTGTCTCGGGAGGGTCACTGGGAGTGTAAATTCAAAATGGCGACCAAATCAAGCTTTTGCGTATGTTCGAAAACTGTTTTTTTTGTTAAAAAACGGTTTTTCTTGAATAACTCGGCCATTTTTGATTATACAGAAAAAGTTTGGAGACAAAAATTGTAGTAAATTTGGTTCTCTTCAAGTTTGGTCTCTACAATTTTTCAGATAGGATCGATATTTTGTAAATTAAACCTGAAAAAAGCGACAAATTCGGAATATTTTCATTATCATTTCCATTTTATTGTATACAACTTTCGCCCTATTCGTTGCACCTGCAGAATTGAAAAAGAGGAGATATTGCGAATATTTCTGAATGGGTACATATTTTCTGGTTGAATTCCGAAAATATCGATTTTCGGCGAAACAGGTGAAGACCAAATTTGTCCAAAATTTGATTCTCTACAAGTTTGTTTCTTCTCATTTATGATGTAAAGTTGAGAATAAACGAGATAATGATAATATTTCGAATGAGTCGTTTTTTTAGGTTCAATTCCGAAAATATCGATTTTCGGAAAAATAGGTGAAGACAAAATTTGTCCAAAATCTGATTCTCTACAAGTTTGTTTCTGTTCATTTATGCCGTTAAGTTGAAAATAAAGAGATAATGAAAATATTTCGAATTTGTCGTTTTTTTCGGGTTTAATTTACAAAATATCGATCCTATCAGAAAAATTGTGGGAACCAAACTTGTAGAGAACCAAATTTACAACAATTTTTGTCTCCAAACTTTTTCTGTAGAATCAAAAATGGCCGAGTTATTCAAGAAAAGCCGTTTTTTAACAAAAAAACAGTTTTCGAACATACGCAAAAGCTTGAATTTACACTCCCAGTGACCCCCCCAAGACACCTATGAAAAAAAAAACACTAAAAAATTATTCACGGGTAAGGTCCGTTATTTGGATATAATGACTGGACTATGTCACTTTCAACAACTCCGTTTATCGTTTGAAACATTTTGAATTCTTAAACACAAAACATGTTTCGGTAACAAAATAGCTCCGTCAGGTGATATACTGGTACAATGAACTTAACCAACCTTGGCTTGCTAAACTTCTATATATCCTACTTTCCCAACTTGAAGGATTAGTTACCTGTGGACAGGTTCGATAAACCTTCATTTTCGGAAATTAGGCACAATATCTACTTTGACTTGTATTTGCTTTCAAAAATACATAATATTAACTACTAAGGAAACAATTTGAACAGTGGTGAACTATAGAAGTCTAATTGATCGTTAAGCAAAATGTAAAAATTTTTGAGTTTGTTGATTTGTAATGATCAAAATCGATTGAGTTTCATTCCATTATTTTCTACGTGTAGAATTTCGGAATAATCATCGAAACTATGGTTTTCTTTTATCATATGGTTGGCGTATGTTGAATTTGTTTTCTTTTTCCAAAAATTCATCTTGTGTTCATGAATGTGCTGATTGAACGTACGACCTGCCTGACATATAGCCAGGAAAGTAGATGTTTTCTGTCGAATTAACTGTGAAAGAATTGATATTTTCATCACATGGAGAATGCAAATTCTCAATGTATCTCTTTATATATACAGTGCGTCCATAAAGTAACGCATAAATTCATTATTGGCTAAATGAACAATAAAATCAAAAATTCCCGAAACAGGTCGATTTTTGATTTCAATTCACTATCGTTCTAAATCATAATTTAATATACAGGGTGAACCACTTTCGTGTAATGACGTCATCACCATTTTTTTCAAATGGAACCCCCCTTTTTTTTCAATTTCAGAATGGCCCTTGCTGAGATGATTCCATAAATGTATACCTAATATGTTGCTTCAAATTGGTACAGGGTGAGCAGAAATGCAAAAAAAAATATGAAAATTGTCCTAATTCTCTGTATTTTCGCTCTATTCTACTTACCGTAGATTGAGAAATAGGTTCACGATCTGGGTGCATTTGATGGAATAATCGGCATACCTCTTGTTGAGTCCGCATCTTATCGCCAATACCAATCATCATTAATATTTCAATCCTGTCACTTTCGGTTAAAGGCATTTTGTAAAAAAAGTTCACGAACGTACCTTCTCTAAAGCGTTAACAATACGAAACTGTGCTTCAATGTTTTTGACAGTTTTGTCAAATTAAAAAAATGGTGAAAGATAATACCAAACAAAAAGATTTTTATAGTCCACGGGCTTGGATCACTAATAAAAGCTGTAAGATACAATTATTATTAAGAATAATGCTGGATGTTCTTGATAGTTTATCAAAGTAGTTGTATAACAATACGTAATTTCATTTAATGTGTTTATTACGTTTATTCATTATTTTTATTACTTTGTAAGTAAATTTTTGCATTTTTGCCCACCCTGTACCAATTTGAAGCAACATTTACACATACATTTTTGGAATCAGCTCAGCAAGGGCAATTCTGAAATTGAAAAAAAAAAGGGGGGTTCCATTTGAAAAAAATGGTGATGACGTCATTACACGAAAGTGGTTCACCCTGTGTATTAGATTATGATTTGAAACAATAGAAAATTGAAATCAAAAATCGACCTGTTTCGGAAATTTCTAATTTTATTGTTCATTTAGCCAATAATGAATTTATGCGTTACTTTATGGACGCACTGTATACATCCATTTTTTTTGTGTTCATGAATATATCTAAGAATGTTTCTTTTCAATACTTCCACCCAATCAAGGGGTTCAAACTTGAACGATGGAAAATTGTAATTTTTATAGACCTCAATCGCAGATTCGTGATTAGGTTTTTTCCAATTCAGAATTTCTTTCCACGTCCTGTTTTTTCAATTGACATTCACCACACATTCAAAAAACTGATAAAAACAGTTATTTGAAAAATGCCCAATGATATCCATTTTCCGAATGATGGTCTTTTTTGTACCCCTCTACATTGCACGCGAATGTTGATTGAAACTGTTCACTCTGCTGAATACTTCATTGTTTTAACAAACAATCACCACTTAAATTTCTAGAGAATAGCATCAATAATAACTGAGATATCAGGGTGTTTTCATGAAAAGCGGTAAACATTGTATGATGTGGTTACAGGAGTGAGTAGAATAATGTTTTTTCCTCCGATTGGCAGCAAATATTAATTTTGCTGACACATATCAATCAGCAAAGTATTAATTTTCCTGCCTAGGCAGCAAAGTGGTTACTTTGCTGATTGATATGTATCAGCAAAATTAATTATCCATAAATCGTTTATAATTTCCTTCATATTTCATTCAACTCTATATTTTTTGCCACCTCCCTTATTTCTGGAGGTGTGAGTACTTCCAGGTCGCTATCACTGTCCATTATATAATAATTCAAATACACCGATATTTTTTCGCACATATGTCAGAATTTTCATGAATTGTCAAACTATAATATATCATGGACAACTGCGATTTCTATCAAATTTCATTTTAATTGAACACTACAGAAAAATAAAGAGATTGTGGGAATTGTAATAACTTGCAATTACAATATCCACCTATATCATTATGAACAATCGGAGAAAAAATTATATGTTCAACTCGGCAGCAAAGTAGATTGACTGCCTTAGCTGGATTCCTAGCCTCGCTATACGCTCGGCTATGAATTCAGCCTTGGCAGTCAATCTACTACTTTGCTGCCTAGTTAAACATATAACTATTGTATAAAGTCAGGGAGGAGGGGGATGCTCTCTTGGAAATGAACTGAATAAGTGCGTTTGGTTTGTCGCCCCCTCGCCACGAGAAATACAAGGCTCGCGCCTCGGGCGCATCCCCTACAATCCGCTACTGACTATTTGAATATCATGAATAATGCATACCTCAATAACAGTGCCATTATCCATACGATATTGTGCTGTTTGATTCGGCATTCTGACGAACTGGTGGATGAAACGAATTTCTCCGGTTACTTCGGTGGAATTGTCGCTCGTCAATAGTTCCTGAAAAAATATTTCATGTATACAGGGTATCCCAAGAGAACAAAAAATGATTTCAATCAAAGATTCTGGGAACAAATATAGTGTGAAAAATTTATATAAACATGGGTACTAAAAAAAGCCCCCTGTGGTGTTTTGTAGTCACCTGAAGAAGTTGGCCGAGATTATGGTTTTTTGAACATAATTTCAATAAATAAAAATAACGGGGCCAGGTAGCCGTGCGGACAGAGTGTCTATATTCTAATTCGCATTCGCTTGCCGATCGTGGGTTCGATTCCCGTCGACTGCAGAAATTTTTCTGATGGCCCAAGAAAGTGTTTGGGATCACACGTTAAAAGGTAAGGCCCCCGTCATTCCTTGCTCGCACAAGACTTTCGAAGACTTCTGAGGGTTGCTCATAAGGGGGCCACCGAATGACGGATAGAACAATTTTAGAACAATTTTTTTTAGAACGAGAAAAGAACAAATGCAACTAAACGGTATAGGTACTCTATTTCTGGAAAGTCTTCGAAGGGGTTGATTGTAACCATGTCAACTACCTCAGTAACTATATGGTGATCTAGATTTCGAGGAAAAAGTGAAGGAATCCAAAGTACCACTATTTTTCCTGTGAATAAGGTATGAAGGTGAACCTTCAATCTCTGAAGTGCATGATAGTTTATTATACACCTAGGAAATGAAGAGGTATAGTAATTCTCTAGACAAACAGTTTATAGCCCGACCAACGAAGGTGGGGGGAAGGATGGCTATTATTTTTTGATGGATTTGAAAACACTTTAGTCCCGGGGTGTATATGTCGGCGTCAAACAGTGAAATCGGTCATTTTCTGAAATGCCTAGTCATTTCACGTATTGCCGGCAATGTGAGATATTTGGCAGTTCCCCAATGGTATAAATACTAATCAGTTTTTTTTTCAAATCGCATAATGTCTTTGAAAATTGCTTGTCAATCTGTTTGGAATACAACGATATAGCACATATCTGGTGTTTTTTTCATCGATAACAACAGAAACATGAATATTTTGTGACTTTTTCACGTTACCTACTGAAAAAAAAAAATCACTCTCACCTATGTATCCAAAAAGTCAACAAATGAGAAGAAGGCGACTTAAAGGACGCCAATAGGTGGAAGATGGTTAACGTCATCGCCCGGTGCGATACCACCACATCAACCATAGGCACTGTGAAATGGGTATACTTACTCGTGTTTCAGTAGCTGGTTGATAATCCGGCCAACCCAACCCAACCCAATTTCCTTTTCCTTCCACGCCAACCTCCCTTCTTCATACAGAATGAGCGATGATGAGTTCTCCTCAAGTAAAATTATCCGGAAGTAAAATACCTCTCCATTCGAATTTCCGGGCGAGAGGTGCTAAAGGGGGTTCACCATCGGCTAAAAAAGTCCTCAAGATAGACCTATGTAACATCCGAGGTCTAAGTAAGAACATCAACGATGTCCATCGACACCTTCGAATTGAAAAGCCAGACATATTGGCTCTTACTGAGACACAGGTCAATTCATCCACCAATACGACCTATCTGCTCTGTCTTAGGTACGAACTCCACACACGTTTCAGATTCAAGGGAGGTCTCTGCCTCTACTCTAAAACGAATCTCTCATGTCAACGAGAAAAAACTTTGGAACCAAATAAGTTTGATGTCATGTGGTTCAAACTCGATAGCCAGAAACAGACCAAATACCTTTGTTGTCCCTACTTATCACCAAATGATCCATCCTATGAAGAGATCTTCGAATTCTTGTCTCTGAAGCTTGACCAAATTCAACAGAACCATCCAGCAGCAGAAATCATCATCATGGGCGATTTCAATGTACACAACACTGCTTGGCTCGTACACTCTAACAGAACGGATGAAGCTGGGCGACAAGCCGAAGCTTTCGCCATCACTCACGGCTTAGAGCAGCTTATCAAAGAACCCACACGAATTCCCGATGCCAATAACCATTCAGCTAACATACTTGACTTATTCCTCACTAATAATTCAGCACCCTACACCATAGAAGTACGAGCTCCACTTGGCAATTCTGACCACACACTCATATCCACAACCTGCCTATTTTTCATTCCATCAACTGCTCCGGCACCCCCACGTCTTATATGGCATTACAATTCAGGAGATTGAGACGGTCTCTGCATGTTTTTCTCCGAGTTTCCTTGGCATAGAGTATGCTTTGACTTTGAGGACCCTTCACAGTGTGCTGCAGAAATATCCGAGATCATCATGCTCGGAATGGACACTTACATACCTCATTTTTCGAAAAGATCATCACCTTCGGAACTCTGGTTCAACAAAAACTGTTCTAGAACTGTGGCCTTGAAACAAACAGCCTACCATCGCTGGCGCAAAAACCCTAACCTCGCGACTAGAGCAGAATACGTTGATGCCAGGAATAACTGCAGCCAAACAATAGATGCCTCTAAAGAAACATACAATGCCAAGATAAGATCGAAACTCATAGATTGCCCCAATGACTCCCGTTCGTTTTGGTCCCTTGCTAAAGCGGTCGGAAGAAATTTCACTAATAGTTCATTTCCACCACTGTTCAAATCCGACGGCACATTAGCAACAACATCGCAGGAGAAAGCAAATATATTTGCAGAGATGTTCGCAGCAAACTCTACTTTAGATTCCCAAGGAAAAGTGCCGCCAGACATTCCACCCGTTGAGAGCAGAATGCCCGAAATCGTCTTCCGTCAACGCACTATCAGACGAATTTTGCTTGGTCTCAAAACAAATAAGGCTAATGGCCCTGATGGATTTCCACCTATTATCCTCAAAAAATGTGTACCAGAGTTAACACCGATTCTCTGCAAGTTGTTTACCGTCTCGTACAGGTCGGGTATTTTTCCATCATGCTGGAAGACAGCTAGAGTCCAACCAATCCTAAAAAAAGGGAACAAGAACCTGCCCAATAACTACAGGCCCATTGCCCTGATATCAGTTATCTCCAAAGTGATGGAGAAAGCCATCAATATTGAGCTTATCAAATATCTGGAGAGCTCAGAAATCATCAATGATAGACAATACGGCTTTCGCCACCGAAGATCTACTGGAGATCTACTTGCCTACGTCACCCATTTATGGCAAGCTTCATTAGAAAAACACGGGGAATCTCTAGCTGTCGCGTTGGACATATCGAAAGCATTCGACCGTGTTTGGCACGAAGGACTCCTCCACAAACTACCATCATACGGCTTACCACCTCAGCTATGCAATCTCTTATCGAGTTTTCTTTCAGGCAGATCTCTTCACGTGGTGGTGGACGGTGTATCGTCTGATACCATTGGCATCAATTCCGGCGTTCTACAAGGACCAATTTTGGCACCAACTTCATTCCTGCTTCATATCAATGATCTGTTAGGAGTAACAACTTGCCCCATCCACAGCTTTGCAGATGATAGTACCCTCCATACTGCGTTCTCTTCCAGAATTCCCATCTCTTCCCAGGAAACTAAGAACTCACGGCGCAGGCAGGTCGATGCTGTCAATGAAGATCTTACTGAAATCACAGCCTGGGGAACCAACAACCTAGTTGAATTCAACGCCACCAGAACTCAAGCCTGCATTTTCTCTAGAAAGGCGGAACTCAGTATGCCCGATATTGTAATGTCTGGCTCCACCATCCCCACTAAGCCCACTGTACTATATTCTATATTTAGAACATGATGTATATGAAATAAATGATGAGGGTTGTTATGTAATAAATAAACAGTTCTACTTGGTTACTCTAAAACTGAACACTGAGTTTTATTCAACTAATAATTTAGAAGTGATTACTAATTAATAATTCAAATATATAACATGGCGCAGTCTGAATGCGAATAAAGTTTCGGCAGAAATATAAAGAAAGTGTTAGGCAGATCCACAGTAAGAAAAACGTACCCTAGAAAATTGAAATTGACACTTGCCAAATTATGTCTGACTTGAAAATTCAGCCAATGTCAATTACTGGAAATTTAGCAGAAAATTGGAGAATATGGATTCAGAAATTCAAGAACTATCTCATAGCTAGTGAAACTGATAAGAAATCAGAAAAAATCAGGTGCGCACAGCTATTACATTATTTAGGTGAAGATTCAATGCACATATATAACTCATTTCAATTCAATGAAGATGAAGTGGACAAGATTGATATTTTGATTAACAGATTTGAAAATCACTTTGTTCCGAAGAAAAGTTTGGATTATGAAAGATTCAAGTTCTTTACACACCGAAAGAATCATGAATCTCTAGAACAATTTGTTACGGACTTGAAAAATATGGCGAAACATTGTGAATTTGGTGCCCTACAAGATAATTTGGTGAAAACCATGTTGACGATCGGTATTAATCATGAATATCAACAGAGAAGATTACTCCAAGCTGGTGATAAGCTCCACCTTGAAGAAGCAATTCAATTATGTGTGATTGCAGAAAATACCAAGCAACAATCTGAAGCAATGAAGAGTGGTTCTATTATCAAAGAGATTCAAGAAGTAAGAAAAACTAAGAAGTTTGCGAACAAAGAAGTAAAGAAGTCGATGACTGAAAATAAATCTATAAAGAATTGTAGTAGGTGTGGTAGGGATCATGATATAAATAAGTGTCCTGCGTTTGGTAAGACATGTGTGAAATGTTCTCGTAAAAATCATTTCGCTAATGTGTGTAAAATCAAAATGACATATTCTTCAAAGAAAAAAGTCGAGGAAATCAGAAATCAAGATGATTTTGATGATGCAATTCTAAGAATTGATTCAATTCATTCGGAAAATAATTCAGTTTGGTTTGTGGATCTGAAAATCCAAAACAAAGAGTTCATGTTCAAAATCGATACAGGTAGCCAAGTTAATATCGTTCCCAAAAGTATATTTCAACTGATGAATTTGAATCCTGGTGTACTTTCACACTGTAAGGATAATTTATTGTCATACACTGGAAATAAATTATGTATTTTAGGAAAATGTAAATTACCAGTGGTGCACAAAAATAATTTATATAATTTAG